CTGTCTGCTGCCATCCCTAAAACAAAGAAGTGTTCAGCCTTTAATTGGGTACTTCATCTGTAGATCCAAACTAGGGTCAGGCTTGCATTATTCCACCGTTTGTATTTGCTCACGCAGCCCTGATATGAAAACACATGATCTAATGTGGTAAAGAAGTGTATTTAACCACTTTGTTGTGAAGATTGTTATTCACTCCAGTTCGGTTAAAAAGGAAACTGAAAAGCAAATGAAGAGCTGTTTTTTCCCTGATCATACCTAGCATGATTACAGTCACTCACAAATATGACACAGCCGTTTTTGTTCCCCTATTTGTCTTCCATAAGCCTGAGTCTGATTGGTTCATAGAAGGAGGAGGAGGGGGGTAGTGGGGTGGCAAGAGGAAGCAATTTTGGCTTAGACCTGGTGAGCTTTGCCTTGTGGGAAATCAGCGTCATGGCAGATCCTGTAATTAGTTCTGCTTGTTAGAAAAATGAAGGGGTTACTAATTAGTGAGTGGATGGCTTCTTGACTTGTTGTGCATCTTTTCCCTCCTTTCCTTGAAGATCATCATTATCGTCTCCAGGCAAAACAGAAGAGAGAGAGAGAGAGAGAGAGAGAGAGAGAGAGAGAGAGAGAGGGGAGATGCTCAGTCAACAGTTGAGCTCTAACGCGATGACTCTAGATGGACAAATCTCGAAGGGTGTTCTGTCATGCTCTGACAGACAGGCTGCCTACTATAAGCATGTGTAGGCAAACGCCTGGAGCTGTGCAAGATTTCACTTTTCAAGTTTGCTTAACAAGCAGAGCTGTCTTTACATGCAGGCTCCATTCTTTGTGCCACTTTCAAGTTGAACAACTTTGTCTGTAATTTAAACACACAAGTATTTATAATGCAGGAAATGTCAGATCTACTCTTATGAATCCTTGTTTACATCAAATCTGTCTGTCTGGTGTTATTCGCACCTTTTTCCACGTTATTCTTTTTCCCATGACATTGTAGCATTTGTTAAAATGTATGATAAAGAGCCAGCTTAGGAAAGTCAAAAGGTCAGCTTTTATACGCCTGTTTGATTTCTACATATCACATCTCAACAACACACTCAGAGGAGCCGTGACCCTTCACAGCAAAGTCCAACTTTATATGTAAACGCTGCATTTGGGCAACAGTAAATCATCTTGGGAAATATACCAATTTGTTTTCTTTCTTCAAGTTAAAAAAATATATATTTTCTTAATGCTGCATAATAATAATGTACTTGGAGGCTGTAGCCTAAGATAGTTTATCAACAATAAAAAATGTTCTGACAGTTATGTGCAGGGCTATTAGTTGTTGAGTTGAAAATCAAGACATATTCCACCACATTGACAGATAAAAAAAAAAAGATGCGTTGATTAGTTAGGTTTTGGTTTTTTTCCCCAGAAAAATGGGTTTTTTTAGAGTCAAGCAGTAAGTATGTTTGAGACATTAGCAATGGAATTACTGTCAGAGCAGTGTGTATACATTTACATTTTCAGGGAGCAGTCATTTCTATATCACATTCAGGAATATCCTTTTCAAACTTTTAATCACAAGATGAATCTTTTTGTGTAGTATTTCAGTAAATACTAAAATAAATAGCTGATAATGATGTTGTTTGAATTTGGAGTGTGTGTGTGTGTGTGTGTGTGTGTGTGTGTGTGTGTGTGTGGGGGGGGGCAGTACACGGTGTATTGAGATATTGAGACAGTGGAACAATGTGTGACACATTCATATAACGGGCCTTACTTCCATATGATCCACATTTAGATTGTACATTTTATTCCCTGCACACTCTCACTCGTTGTAAAAGGAAATTAAGTGGTAAGAATATTGAAATTGGTTCGTAAGATTTTATAAAATATTAGGCAGATTGCTGTTATCATAATTTATTGTATATCCAGGGTATATTGTGGAGTGTATTAAGGATTTGAAGGATAAAGCACAGCAATGAAGGATTTAATCAAACTCCTGAAGAAAGTACAAGCAAGAAAGTGTGTTCAAAAAGATTTTACTCTCTTGTGTAATGTGGCTTGGATGTCGGAGCATAAAGGGAATGCAAATGGAATTCATCCAGAAATAGACCCTCTTTTGTGCACTCAGATTGCGTATAAGAAGACCTATAATCCGCCTCTGATGTTTCGAAAGTTGAGACTTCCAGCTCTGCTTTCAGCGTTTCAACCGCCGCGCGCTGATTCCTCCGAAAGTCCCCCCTTTTAAGCTGTGGGCAATTTGAGCGATGCAAGCGGAAGTGTTTCTGCATGATGTCACGCTCTTCATCGATAATTCTCCATAACACGACGTTACATGCATGCGGCTGCAGAGGGACATTTATCTCCCTCGGCTGATCCGCTTCCAAGAATGATCCTGATGTGACATTACGTAAGACTGGGAAGGCAGAGCTGCTGGTATTAGAGAACACACAAACTCCAGAGAACATACTAATCTCCCTATGTGATTATTAGTCATAATATTTAACACTGGCTTAATGAGCGACCCACGGCGTAATCTCTATCTGGCATATTCACCTGTTCTCCCCTCACCCTTCTCACTTGCCTTTAAGGAGAGTGATGGGGAGTAAAACAGAATAATTATACCCCCGAGTGTGCTTGGAATTACCCCTGATGATATGAAATGTGGAAAAACTAGATTATTGTTGAATAGCTCTGTGGAAAAACCACAGGATTAACTCAGCGTCTCAGCTCGTATTTTTGGCAAATGTTCCCTCGTTTCTGTAATTATTCTGTAGCTATACAGCAGCAAACCTAATATATGGTAAATTATGAGCTGTTAAGCAGAAACAGTGGGACACTGATTTTCACTATGACTACAGTGGGGGAGTTTTCACAGGAATGAGACCAGCTCTTATGTAAAAGTTCTTTCAAGTTTTCGTGAACATTATTCTATTTAGAAAATTCAACATTTTGGTGTAATCGACAAAAAGGCTTTAGATTTATCCGGAAGTCTTTGAGACGAATGTCAGAAGCTAAAGAAAACTGGAGCTCACACCACACTTATCCTTCCTCGTGCACAAGTTTTTATATTCAGTGTCGTTCAGAGCATTCATCATGCAAACAAATAACTTGGTAGACTGTCTTAAAGAGGTACGTTCGCTCTGCATTTGTAATCACTCGCAAGATCAAACTGTATTTCTGCATTTCATTTAGCATTTGTGGCGATTTATCAGCACACAGAATTGCCTTCACATTTCCACATTTTTGTCTGATATCTGTGTAGGCTGTGAAACCAAGCCTCCATTTGTGAAGAACTGAACAAAAGCTATGCGTTTGTACCCTTGCAGGGAGAAATGGAGGCCTTTGAGCGACTGTTTTATTTCACATACACGCACACACAAGGGTTTTTTTGGAGATGAAGTGAGCGCTGTTCAGTCAGTTGGTGAAAGTCTTTTGTTTCAAAAATAGACTTTGTTACAGCTCTACACATGCCAAATAGACCTGCTGAGAAGGATGGCAGAGAACTGAGTGATTGTTTAAAGACTGGAGTCACTTTGGCATGACCAGGCACATACCCACTCTCTGAAGCCAATCCCGTCAGAACTGGCAGAACCTGCAGGACAAAGTTTTAGGGATCAAATATCTTCAGAACAAGACCAGGCTTTGTTGACACAAAGAATAAGCATGACATTTTTTTGGCATTTAAAATGGTTAATTCCTTGGCTTTGAAAGTTGGACAAGAACATTTATACCACACGCATGTTGGTCTGTTAAATTAAAAGCTTTAACCTATTGATTGTTAGCTTAGCTTAGCATAAAAACCAGTAATAGATGAAACTGTTGTATAAAGGTAACAAAATCCAGCATATTTACTTTCTGATTGAATCTGATTAAATTGCAGAGAAAAGTCTGAGATTATTTGTTTTCTTGAAAAGAGTTAGCTGAATAGATTAATTCAGGCAGTTACCAGAAAGTTTTCAGCCAAGTGATTGTTAGCTTAGCTTAGCATAAAAACTGCCAACAGGGGAATGTGTTTACCTGGCTCTGTCCAAAGGTTACGAAACCCACCTATCATCACATTTGAATCTAATCATACAAACGTCACATGCCTCTGTTTAGTCTTTACAAATGACGGGGTGTTAAAATTAACAAGACAAAATTAAACTCCAAAAATTAAGAAAAGTTTGACATGTAGAGACTCCAATGATTCAAATTAGCTGAGAAGATTGTAACCATGTTTGTCGGCATATCGCCGTTTAGCTTAAAACTGGCGACATGGGAAACAGCTAACTGGGACCTGTCTAAATGTAACAAAATACTATGATTTAATTTTAAAACACAGTGTAAAAAACAAACAGCATTTGTTAGGCTAGCTCTTTCCAAAGAGAACAAGTGCTTCAGTTTTGTTTTGTGTTTACATTTCTATCAGCTTTGGTAACCATGAAATGGTGAAGTTTTCATCAAACTAAAACAGTGAAGTGATTCAAATACAGGAATCCTACATGCAGTAACAAGTCTGGTACCTCCCTTGCATCAAGTTTGCCCTCTTTGTGCTTAGCTAAGCTAACCACAGGCACCATAGTGGTATCAATCTTCTCATCTAACTCTGAATGTCAATACGTGTAATTACCAAAATGTCAAACCAAGAAGTGATATTTTCCTTTGTGCCTATTCAGCATTTCCTTTCTGCTTTAACATCAGGTACTGAGATATATACCAAACGTACTGGATACGACCTGATGTCCTTGACTTAAATAAGAAAAACTGAGATGATGTTTTGAATGAATTTAAAAGGAAATTCAAGTAGACAATCTCATCTTGCGACTGACACAGGCAGCGCAGCAGAGGGGAGGAATCTGTCTCTCAAGTCTTGTCCACATACATACATCAGAGTCAGTCATCACCGTCTCTGTTAACTGTAAATGTCTTTCTCTATTGTCTCTTTCATCTCGTCTGTTCTGTTATGTGCGCCATGCTTCACATCTATGTCCTGTTTTTTCTCTTTCTCTCTCTTTCTCCCCCCACTTTTACTTCTTCTTCTCTTTGTGTTGGATGAGAAGGCAAGTCCTGGGGCGCTGGAGGATGACGGCAAGTTGTCGGTAGGTCCTGTCTGATTGACACTCTTCTTTCTCGTCTGCCTCTGTGTTTGTCCCTGTTTTCTGTGAAGATGTAGAAGCGTAACTTGTGTTCCTCCAACCATAATGTGAACCAGACATGAACACTGTTATCTCTAACCTTCAGCCTCCCTCTGTCTGAGAGACTAGCTCCGTCTTGTTTTTCCGAATCCTTTTTGTACCCAGCATGCAAAAGTAAAAAAAAAAAAATCAAAGGAGCATGAATTTAGAAAACGTAAGATTCTTTCAATGCTTGTACTTCCAAAAAAAAAAAAAAGTGTTTAGTTTTTCATCCACATTCTTAAGGAAGAAGACAAAAAAAAGCAGCAGAAGGAGCATCTTCAGGCTTCACAGTGAGAAGCTGCATCGTACACAAGCCCTGACAGTCTACATGTCTCCCTTGCCCTCCCGCTCACACCCATATGGGCCTGTGAATTAGCACCTGACACCTCCTGCGCCTACGCATCACCTGTGGGCAGCCAAAAGGGAGGACAAACAGCTGCCGCCTGCAACCATGCCTAATTTTCCACAGTTCTCCAGTCCAGCTTTGTCTGCTGAAGGGACCTTGGCGAGGGGATGTTTTAGAAGAAAAAAGAACTCATATGTCGCTTAAACTGTGAATGCCTGGCTTAGCGTTACGTTTTGAAGAAGCTGAGGCACTTCATGTTTTTACTGGGTTCAGGTTCTTCTTGCAAAAGAGGATTAGGGAATCATACTCCAAGCGGTTTAGAGTGGGGTGCTCACAACTAATAGTGAGATGTAAATATCTGTGTATGTTCTATATCACAAAAACAACAGCGTATTATTGGATCAAACGTTTTCTTGGTAAGGAAGATGTCCCATGCAATAGAATGTTTGGTTGACACCTTTCTCCTCTCACAGGCCAGACCTCGGCTCCAGAGGGGAGGTAGCTCCGCCTCCCTGCACAACAGCTTGATGAGGAACAGCATTTTCCAGCTGATGATTCACACGCTGGACCCTTTAAGTGAAGGTAAGACAGTCAGACAATCGCCACCTCGTAAAAAAATTAAAAAGTCTTCAATGGTGGACTATCTGCGTAGGTGTTATGTGAAGGATGATGCTCCTTTTTGCAGTCGGTGATGTCGTTGATCTTGCCTAAAAGTTCAACATTTCTGATCTTTCTCTCTGATAAAAAGACTTTAATCCTGTTTTCTGTTGGTTCTGAAATGTACATGTGAACAGAAGTTTAAGACGTTCTCTCAAATGATTCATGCAAATACTCATTTTTATAATAATAAAAATAATACCAGCAACAAGCTTGCATGTGATATCTTACAAAGTTCTTGTTTTAGTCCAGTAAAGAAAGGCTTTATTCGATGCAAAGTCATCCCATATTTTGTATCCACTGTCTCCTCCGCCGTCAGGGAAATGCAACTTAATGCCGAGCCGGAATTGATCCCTTTTTAAAAATAGTTCCATACCAGACAAGGTGAGCGCTGTGCTCTGTCAAAGTACAGATAAGGTGGAAGATCATTTTCCTTTATTCCAAGATGAAGGCCTGTTAGCCTAACTAAAGGAAAGATAGAACGGCAGTGTCAGTGCACAGCTCAGGGGGATGAATATGTTAATACGCTACGGGGAGGTGCAGTGTCATCCCATTCTCACACTGCCACAAAAAAAGCGAAAGGAAAAAAAAAAAAATGCAAATGAACGGGGAGCTGGCAGGGAACAGGGGTTTGAGGAAGGTTTAAAGAATTTGTCATAAGATCTTTTGAACACAAGACTTTTAAATTGGGTTTGGAAGTGGTATCTCCTAAAGTGATGAATCTTAATCTGTTCAAAATTAAATATTAAAACTCATGCTGTGTCCTAATAATCTTCTCCCTTCCAGTTTCCTAAAAGCATCAGTGTCAGGATAACAGCAGAAAGAAATGCAGCGCAGGGCAAGGTCAAAAAAGCCATTCACAGGCTCAAAACAATGTCCAAACTAAATATTTCCCCTCTCGCTGGATGTGATCTCATTAGCGGAGGTCTGTCCAGCAGCAAGGAGGCATGTCAGCCTTCTCAGAAATGACTGTACATTCCTTGAAAGCCAAAACCTAGAATGAGTCAGCTCTGGAGAGATTAATAAACTATGCCGAGACAGGCCTTAAAGTGCCCATTAACATGCATCAAGTCGTTGTCGAACACGTAATCCAAGGCGTTCCATCACTGAGTGTATTCATCTTTCTTTTTTCTCTAATTAAAATATAAATCAAAGCCTGCGGGGGGAACGGAGGCTGTATGGCTGTCAAGAAAGGATTTTATATACACTCCACCCAGCCAGTCCTGTTCAAGCTATTTGTCTACTGAGGGGTAAATATCCTGCACTGATGATGGCAGGCTGAAATATTGCTTGCTGGATCAGTCAACTAATTGTACAAATAATAACAGTTTTCTGTTTGTGTTCAAGGCTAAATCACTATCATTAAAACCAAAATGAAAGCAAAATGTTTGTTTTTCTCTGGTCTTTTCTTTTGGTAAATAACAGACTGGCACTGAAACAACAACTACAGTGCCATGACTTAATTGAATTGACTTAACTTGGGCTTCAGTTGGATTTGGATAAATTATGGAAAGACGTCCATGTGGAACGTCGACAGTTTGACACGCTCCAATGAACGCATAACGATGATATTCGTCCATATTAAAATGCACTCATCACATGCCTCATTCGTTCTGTGCCTTAAATCATCTCATTGCACCATTACCAAAAGACCCATTGAACGTCTGCCCTGTTCGAAAATTAGTGCCTGTGTTCTATACACGTTTACTGTTATGATTAATGCAAAGGAGCATTTTGTTGGGGGGCTCGTTGCGTGGAGAGGGACAAACAGGTGCACCCATCAAAGACGGAGGCTGTCCAGCTTGTCCTTGTGCGCTCTCAGCCTTTAAGTGTAGCTCATCTGAGCCGAGGGGAGCTGGCAGGACTCCATCCATACATTTTTCATGGATGTTTCTTAAAATAAAGTCGCTTCCTATCCGGAGAAAAGTCTGAGCTTGTTCTGCTAGAGCTGGGAACTGGTTACCTGTCACATGTTGTACTTTCTGGGGTCGGAATGGTTTCGAGCTGTCTTTGTGTTTTTAAGGATTTCTCTGCCTTTAACACTCATCATTCCCGTGTGTTGCCTTACTTTAACATTATTTGTTGATCACTAACCAGATTCATTTGAATTAAAGTATTTTCCTGCTATTTTGCCTACTGACGCCACAGTACATACAACACAAAGTTTTCTTTCTACAAACAATACCGGAAAACAGTTGAGGCAACTGGAAGTGTCTAGAAAACCTGCTCTATGTATGTTAATATCTGAGCGAGTGACCTGTGTGTCTGCGTGGCCCGTGTGGCACGGAGCACGTTTGTGTGTCACTTTGAAGCTAAAAGCTTGAAATTCGGGGATATGTGCTTGTTGCCCTTTTTCCTGAGAGTTTGAAAAGAAAATTAATACAACTCACATCTCTCATCTATATGCTAAATATGAAGCTAGAGCAAGGTAGCAGTTAGCCTAGCTTAGCATAAACACCGAAAGCAGCAGCAAGCTAGCTCTGCTGGGAAGGAAAACGACCCCTCAAAACTCTCCTATAATGTAGTTCTTTGATCGGGAGGGACTGCATGTTCCACCAATTGTTTTTTTAAATGTTTTTTTTATTTACATGATTATTTCCTTTTGGAGGTGATGGGTAGATGAGAGTGTCTAGCTTGCTGTCCTGTGTTCAGTGTGTGTGCTTAGCAGCTAAGCTAAGTGTCGCTGGAGAAAATTTCACAACAAGCGAAAAGTCATAAGAGTGGTAAAAGATCTTCTCACTTTACTCTTGGCCAGAAAGAAAACATATCAATGATTGAATGTATACAAACACAATAAATATCACATGGATTTATCTGTTCTCTGTTTCTGTCTTCCAATCTTTTTCTTCTACTTTCACCTCAGAATTTGCTGACTCTGGTGAGTTACTCCTCTAATTTCTGTACCCCCCCCCTCCCTAAAAAAAAAAAAAAGATCTGTTTGTTCTCATTCCAACAGCCTGGAGGCAACTCTTGCCCGACGTGTTTCCTATGTATACATCCCTAGTGCCGCCGTGCTGTATGTCAATTCTTTACTGTCCATCCCTGCAGACTCTCTCCTTCTAATATCTCATTCTCTTCTGTGGATGTATTCTTCCTGGAAATCCTCTGTGACCATTTTCTGTATTGTTTTCCCCATTGTCCCTAATCCTCTCTCTCCTCTTAAGAACTCCTGTTAGATCTAGACTTGTGGTTTTGCTCTCCGTGAGACAGACAGAATCCCAAAAGGATTATTTGGTTTTTTTCTTGTCTGTGTTGTTCTTAAATATTTAAAGGTGTTTTACCCTTCAGACATTTAGAGATGCATGCCAGCGTTGTAGGATGGATTATCAGATCCACCTTGACGGAGATGTGCGTCAAGGGGTATGTGGATTGGGATGATTGAACAAAAAATGTCAGCTGTTTTCCTCCTCACCCAACCTTAGCAGGGTTTAATAGTCAATATGAGCTCGACTGAGCAATGCGTTACAGTGGACTAAAAATTACTTTTCCTTCCATTGCCTTTCATAGTTAGCTGTCCCACCAAACTGGTACTGATTTATGTATTCACATGCGTCTTGGAAAGTACAGAAGATGTCTGTTCATTAGAGTTGTTGCAGTACGTGTACAGATAGTTGACATGCTTGACATGAAGTCCAAGACCAATAACAATCCAGTTCTTGTTGCATTGATTGTCTTTTAGTTTCATAACAGACCTCTTGTTTAGGAACGCCGTAACAGTCTGGTACAGTAAGTTCCGGGCAAAAGTGCCTGCATTTCTTTTTCCATCAGTGCTACAAACAATATCACTTAGGAGTGGCATCAAATATTGAAGTACAGAGGGAGACGGTGGGGAGAAGGGCAGAGTGGCTCTCTCTCTCTCTCTCTCTCTCTCTCTCTCTCTCTCTCTCTCTCTCTCTCTCTCTACCGGCTGAGACAAGCCTCCCAAAACAGAACTCCCAATTTCAGGCTGCATGCTCAAGGCCTTCAGTAAGATTTATCACCTGAGATGTGAACCTGGTGGTGAATGTATGCATAACCACAGCCGAAGCTGACCTCAGCATGGACGAAGAATAGCTGTTGTTTTTTTAACAATAGGTCATACAGCTGTTTGAAATGTATCCAACGTTCAGCTGTAATGTACAAGAGCTATTTTTATTTTTCATTTATACCTCATGTTAACATCACTGTTCTGTTAAAAAATGTAGTGAAGCAGCACTATAGGTATGATGACACAAACCAGTGATCTCATCAGATGCTTTCCTGCAGATAATTATCTCACTGAGAAATACGGGAAAGATTGCTCACAGTGACAATGTGGCCTTTGAAAGCTGGGATTTTTTATTGAGTAGGCGTCACACCAATGTCCTTCGCAGGACAAGGTCATTTGGGTTAACTGCAAAATCCCCCGCTTTGGCAGACAGTACGATTATTGGGTGAACGGGTGAGACAAAGGAGGACGTGGCCTACTGTCTCACTGGAGGCTGTCGATGCAGACACGAAAGGAAATAAGCCAAAGGGCAGCAAATGTGTGTGAATACAGCGACGAGGGTGTAATTCATACACAAACGGAATCAAATGTATGATGAAATATTGAAATGAAGAACAAACACATAAAGAAAACTGAATCTTTCTGTGATATTGCTTTCTGAATTTAAGTCTTTTAGTTTGAGAAATTAATCCATTCATCCATGCCTCCCCCCCCTCCCCCTCCCCCTCCCCCACCACCACCAGCTGTGTGGTGGCCCAGAGCCCAATTGATCTGACGGTTCAATATTGCACTCACCGTCACTGACCTCCAAATCCTCATGCAGTGGAAATATATTTGCCAGTTATTCAGATTTAATAAATCAACATTCTGGTTTCGGATTTCAGATATTTTCACCCGCCCCTTCTTACAGAATTTCTGTTAATGTATTTCATAAAACGTGGAAATGAAGATCACACATAATGAGAATAGGCACTGTATTTTTTTTGACCTTCAGACAGTGCCAAGCTAGCTGTTCCCTCCTATTTCCAGTCTTTGTGCTAAGCTAAGGGAGAGTGATGAGGGAGAGTTATGAGAGGTATCTACACTCTTCTTTACTTTACTTTTCTTGTCTTTACAAGCAAGCAAGTAGGTGTATCTGTCAAAACTATTCCTTCAATGTGTGTTGTAACAACCCTTTCAGAAAAAGCCTCAAACTTTGCTTCCCCTTTATTTGTTTTGATAAATAACTGTACCTCCAGCATGTTATGTAACTGTGACAAGCAAACCAGCCCCTATCAACCCATCAACCCTCCAACCACACCACAGGACTAACACACACACACACACACACACACACACACACACACACACACACACACACACACACACCCTCCTCCCAGGCTCTCTGAGCTCGCCCTGTGCTGGATGGGTGAAAGAATCAATGTTAAAAGCCTTTTTGCTTCAGCACAGACTGAGTTTCCCCGACGCCCCAACCCCCAGCAGACAGAGCGGGCATGCACTCACACAGATACACACACTCTTGCAGCTCACCAGAGGTTTAGAGGTCACACCACAAGGACAAGAGAGCCCCTGGTAAACAACAACAAGCCTGAGTCTCTCCCTGATCGCAGAGGGCAATAGGACTGTGTGGGCAGTGATTGTGCAGAGGGGTTAATTGCCCTCAGAGCAACCTCAGTTAGAGGACAGTCTCACAGCGATCGTGCACTCCAAAACCCAAATCGCCTAATCATATGGGATTGAGGCACTTGTCTGGGAGTGCAGCAGATGGGCGAAAAAACAGTGCAGTAGGATGTGTTTTCATCTCATTAGATTGTTTTTTCATGGTGGCCAAGTCTTGCATTTGGCACGAGGCTTGAACCATAATCCTCTCACATGTGAGTGGAGTGGTCGTCCACTGTTGGTTGGCTGGTAGAGTTTGATATTAGTGTAAGTGCCTGTGGGTTTTGACGTGTGCAGTGCTTAATGTACCTTACACCGACTACACCTACAACTAGAAATAAAAACTTCGAAAGGGAATTTTAAGGGTCAGTTGTTTTTTTATATTTCGATACTTGAGCTCCATTTATCCAGGGCGTACAGCTAAGCAAAAGCTGGCTGGCTTAGCAGATCTTTTACCAAATGCATGAATAAAATGGTGTTATGTCCTGTTGACACCTTCGCTAATGAAAGCGGTGTACATCCCTTAGATTGGGTCGGAATGCCAGAGAAAGTGTGAAAAGAGTAGAAAGAGTTTTTCTGTGCTTTGTGTTGAGTTGCAAGAGAAGCGTTACTATGTGTTCGGAGAAAGGATCACATACACTGCCCACATACAGATGTACAGATAATAACCACTATCTACAGATTGTGGATAGAAATATAGAATCTTTAGGCTGATGCCGACACAGATTTGGTTTCAGAAGCGTTTTGGTTTCTGTTTTGTGAGGAGTGTCCTCCACTAGAGTATCAGCAGGCGAGGGATGGATTCAGACTTTTTTGACTGGGATGGCCAAAACGAGACATTGACTAATACAAATGAATATTGTTTATTTTTTACCTTCACAAGTCATATCTACTTCAACTAAGTATGTAAAATGTTTTATATTCTAGTCTATATTCTTTAACTTGGAAAAAGTAATCTAACAGGGTGGCAACATTTACATCTTCTTAGCTCGACTCTTTATGGCTCAAAAAGATGTGTTCAGAGTCACAATTTAAAGTACTAATAAAAGGAAATTTACCACACTGAAATGGAAAAGAAAGCTTCTGGCAGTCTGTTGCAACACTCCCCTAAGTCCTACCTCTGATGTGGCAAAATAGCCAATCATAGTGTAGGATATTGGGCGGTTCGTATATAGCACTTTTGTGTGTGGTGTTTGATGTGAGAGGAGTGGTTCAAATGAAGGTTAATCTTGAAGCGCATGCATACTGTGCTTTGTGCTGACATAGTTTTGAAGTATACAGGTCAGAGCAGCCTCTAGGTACAGATAATGAATGATAATCAAGGTTTTTTTTCATATTGATGACCTGTTCTAATAGGGGCCTTGAAACAGGAGAATTTGAATATTCCCAAATGTTTTCACTGAGGTCTATCCACTTAGCATGTATAAATTACAGATATTTAAGCATGAGTCGACATTTAAAATAAAACATAAAGCAACCACCTGAGTCACGTTTATTTTTGATCACTTTTCCAGTTGGATTAAATCAAGCAGATCCTTCTTTATGGATTCAGCCAGCGTTTTGAGTAATCTATCAAGTACTACCAAACATTTTCCTAGGGACCTGCAATCTGTGGTCAGGAGGAGTTCTCATGCAGAATTGAATACATGAAATACATAAATAAAACAAAAGCTTTCTACATAGTAATATAGAGCTTAGTGGAATAGAATATTTCGGTTTATGTTTTGCAGTACAGGAGAATCAGCCCTTCCAAGAGGACCATGTAGGTCTATTTAGTTTTTCTGTTTTACTGTATCTTTTACTAACAAGCAAATACTTTTTTTTTTTTTTGGTTTGACCAGAAAATGAGCTTTGAAAATATTGGTCACAGTAGTGTTAAGAGGCAGAAAAGCTGTGAACCGCTTTCAAGGTCCAGGTTAGGAAGCAGAGCTTGTCGCCCGGTGTCTCCTGTTCTGCAGCTTCACGTTCAGCTGTTGCTGCAGGTTTTTGATTCCCGGCTAATTCATCATGCAGATGTGCTGACCGTCTATTTACCGTAACACCAAGAACTGCTTCAGTAAGGGAATCAAATTAATTGTTTGGTTTTCATTGTGGAAATAAAATGCCGTATCATCAGGCCTTTGAATAAGCTTGCGTGCAGAGGAGAGAGGGACTCATCTTTTTGTTGCATGTTGACCCAGTAAATTCTCTTCTGACTTTCCCGTTTGTTTTAATAGATCATTGTATACACGTCTTTTATTTTTGTAGTATGATCAATGCCCCCTCCCTTTCCCCCCTCCTTCTTCTTTAACTCGAACAGTTGGGAGGCTCCTAATCAGACTGTATGATTTCAACCCTGCCGTTTTGTTTTGTACTTATGCAGTGATGACTCTGAGGGACTTTGTTTCTATATGTCACTCCTTGTGCCTGTGTGTGATGTAGAACCAGCCAGCCTGTGTTGTTCTGTCATGTTCACTCTTTTCCTTTTCTCTGTGTGTTCGTTGCCTTACCCTTGTCTTTTGCTGTGATGTTGTAGAGCTTGGGACTTATGGGAAACTAAAATATTATCACTCAATGACTGAGGAAGGTAAGCCTGAAAGTTTTCACTTAACTCGCTTGTGTCATCCCTCTTGGTTTTTTCTCCATGTTTACCATGAAGCAGCTCCTCCGAAACCATTTTTTTTTTTTTGTATGCTTGTGAGATTTATTTTGCACAAATTTGCCTTTTAAGTTTGACAACCTCTTTGAGATTTCACTGACATAAGTGCAAATCATCGTAGCCACACCATTGTGACATTTACTTTTTCTTCTTCTCATCTTTATTTTTGGCTTCTTCTGTATTTTTTTGTGTCTGCCCAGAGAATATGTACAGACATATTTTGTGTTACTGTGTGTAGTGTTTCTATGGATTTGTATTCTATTTATTGAAAAGATTTTAAAGAAATGTCTAGCATGTTCGGTTTTGTCAAGTAGCCACTGCTTTTTTTTTGTTGTATTCTGTGTCAAATCTTAAGACGTTTAATTATCTGTGCTGGTAAAATTACACACAAACACACAGCAAACCATCCCATGCCTCACACGCAGAAAACACAAGGCACAAGGATTTCTTTTTTTTCCCTTTCTCCTTCTCCTCTTCTTTTATTCTTTGGCCCCGTTTCCCATCCGCATAGCTGAGAAATACATCATTCATGCCTCTGCGCTCACTCGGAGGTTCCACTTGCACCAGCAGCGGGTGCACAAATGTAAGACGCACGTTGCTGAATTTGGCAAACTGGGGTGACTCATCCCCCCAGTGGTTGCATAACAGGCAGCGCTGACAGGGAAAATGAGCGGCTGTATAACGACAGCAAAGGAAAAGCTGCTTTTTCTTAAAGGCTATGCGATTTCCTCATCTTTACTTAAATTGGGTGGTTCAAAAGATTTACACACCCTAAATGGACCTCCCAGGAAACACATTTTCCCCACTGCAAAGACTTACATTCAAACTGAACAAGACCAAGTTTTTCTTGATGATGTGGTTGTCTTTCAAGCTATTGTCACACCTAAGTAAAGTCTTTCTTTGCCTTTGTTTTGTCACTCTGAATCACACTCAAAGGAACTGTGAGGTTTCTTTTTTTTGTTCACCATTAGAGCTAAAGCATCATGAAATAGCCTATCAAACTATAAAGATAAAAATAAAGATAAACTTTATTGATCCCCCGTGGAGGAAATTTGTGTATTACAGCAGCTCCAGAAAACAGGGGACGGGAATATACTTTTTAGAAATAAAAATACAAGTTAAAAACAGATCAAACATATTTACATCATTTAAATTTAAAAAAAAATACAATAATGTAAAATTACACAGTAACTTGTTCTTAAAATATATATACTCTGAGGAGAAGCAAAGTATAGCTGCATATTTTAGAGAAAAAAAATCAAGAAACCTTCTCTGGCCAAAACTAATACAGACCAATCAGGACCTGAATCAAATCTTTGGAGGAGCACATACTGGCTGCTGTGTTGAAGCCAGCACTTCAACATGGCATGTTTCCTTAATGTCTGATGATGTAGTTAGGTCATTTTAAGATTTAATTCAGTGGAAATCTTACATATTGCTCCGTTAAAGCTCAAATAAGCTAGCAAGATAGCACCGCTAACCTTTGCTTAAGCTAACTCCTATTTTCCAAATTGTTTTCTTGACTAGCTGCTGTCTTAAAATTACATATATTCAATCTGATGAACATCTTGAAAATTCGATTTGGTATTTCCCCTTACAGAAGCAGTTGCTAAATCCAAGCACAATGGAGTAAAAACTAGCTAAAGTCTGCTAAGGTTTGCTAGTTCAGCATTCTAGCTTTTTGACTTGAATGGTAAACTTCATTTGGAGAATTTACGGTTTAAATTATGAATCCCTTAATAGATAAATGTGTTTGTTTGGTTAAACTAATAAGACTTAAATTATATTAAAGAGAAGACATTATGCAGTTTGCCACCCAGCCAGAAAACTTGAATCCTTATCTTCTCCATGTCTCTGCTTGAGTAGCACCTGATACGCCTTTGAGGGTCTGTGTAAAAACATTTTCAGGACCATAGCGCCGAAATACCTCATCAGAGTGATTTTCTGAACATTGAAGAAATTCCATTGAACACAGAATCACAAAGCCCAACCCTGCTACTTGCTAACCCACGTAGAGCTAACGATATCACACCCACATCTGATTAACAGACACACGCAATGCACACTCCCTTTACACAACCAATTAACAATGGCCACCTAAGGTGAGTGATGTTATGGCAGTGGAATTTCTGATGCTTTTTTTTTTTTTTTTTTCTTCTTCTTTAGAAATGTCAAGTACTTGTGTGTGTGTGTGCGTGTGCTTGTGCTTGTGTCTGGGAAAGAGAGAGGCGGGGGAGGGGAAGGGCTGTGATGTGCCTTGCCAAAAAAAATAATGAAAAAAGGCAAAGTGAGGGGATGAGAGCATTTGCCAATGACAGATGAGGGAGAGAAACAGGAATGAGGGAGAAAAATGCAGCGCGAGATAGAGGGGACAGGAGGAAGGCAGGCGGTGACTCGGGGTGTTTAATGATTTTGCCAGAAGGTCGCAGACAGTTTTGACATGGTTGGGTGGAGTATGCATCTACGCGTCACTGTGTCACGCACTGACAAATCAGCTGCGCACCCTCAAAATTAAAACAAACAGAAAAAAAAATCTTTCACATTGATCGCAGTGGGCTGGTTGGGAGAAGGCAGGACACGCATGCAAAACATGACACGCACAGGAAGTCAGTGAAATTAAATATGGACACAGACAGCACCAAGGTTAATGACGCACAGGAGCTTTTAGATACATCAGACAAAGTACCTCAGGACGCCGTTTTGTTTCATACTGTTCCTACTACTAAAAACCCCAAGCCTGTGTAGCCAGCAAATATTCAAATCTAAATGGGAACATTAAAACCTGCACTACAGGATTTTTGTTTATTTATAGTCCCATTTCTTTTAATCTAAGTACTGAATTGTTGTTTGTGTGTATCGTCGGGGGATTTTGTGAAAAATCATTGTTCCCCAAGCCAGCAGTGGTCATTACAACATGAGCAGAAGCGGCTTGCGTGAGCCTGTATTTGTAATGTCAAAAGGCCACGCTGCTTATATAAACCACAAGGTCATGATGTTCAATTGATGACTGGTTTCAATCTAGGCCCCTGCGTCACAGCACAAATTTCCAGTGCGAGGTATTGATTCAATAAATGTTATCAGCAAATAAAAAACAGATTCATCTATCTCTCACAGTACTTGATTCTGTTTTTTCAGTCTCCGCACACAGCTATTTCCGACAAACAGGAGAACTTCCAATACAAACAATACACATGTAGAAAGACCAAATCAGCTGGTTCCTGTTTCAACTTCACATTTGTTATTTGTTCAACTACGATGATGCTTTCCCCAGTTCAAACTTTCATTGCTTTCAGTTCCTGGCCTCCGACATCTCTTGTGAGTTTCTGATCTGATACGAGAACCGAGCGAGAGCAGGATCGAACCTGACCTCCAGCTAGGCAGATCTCTTCACAAGAGATTCTACCGCTGCTGGCTTTACTTCCACCAAGGACCAGGACATTGCAGAATCATCAGGATATGATATGCTATGTCATATTGACTCTCGGTGTTGTTTGAACTGCATTTTTGTGTAAACCACCACCCTGTGGTCGCTGTGCTTTGGCAACGTGACCAATTTGGGGTCAAAGGCGACAAGGAAGGAGCCACGGCGGTGTGGATGCCGGGAGACTTTAAAGATGGTGCAGGATGAAGCGCTTTGTTCTAAGTTTAACCTGTGTGGCGATTCTTTTTCAGGTAAATTCCGAGAGAAGGCATCCATCCTTCACAAGATCGCAAAAAAGAAATGCCAAGTGGAGGACAGCGAGAAGGCCAACGGAGTGGCAAGCCGTTCAGGTAAGCTTTGATTTCAAGGGAATGGCAGGCCATTTTAGCTGCATATGCTCCTTTGCTTTCTTGGTGTCTTTCTTAGCTAGCTTGAGGAGATTGATACCACTCTCCAAAGATTGTAAGGTATCAATGTTCTCAAGGGTTGGGAACCAAAATTCAATTCAAATGTAAAGGAGATAGCAAAGGCTACTAAAAATGGCAGCAAACGTCAGAACAAAAAAATCGATTTCAGTTCTGCTCAAAACTTAACAACAAAAAAGGTTTCATATCTGACAGGAAGTTTGGCCAGGACTTGTCTATGTGGCTATGCCATGCAGAAACACGACAGACTGTCTGTTTGTGTACATACAAGCTAGCATCTAGGGCTAACACAGGCACAGTGTGATAGAGAAACTGCATTAAACCTTAAAAAGCATGGCTCTACTTCAACAAGAAATATGACCTTTTGTCATGGGATTATTATTAACTGCAAATCTACTTGCATTTTGAATCTGAACAAACATTTAATGATAATAAAGAGCTATTCTTTGTATGTTGTGATTCTGCAAAAGCCCCGTAACTAAGCTTACCTAAGCCCTTCTTTGACTTTGACTTTGAATCCATAACAGCTTAATATTGGTGACCCGGTGTGATATGTCCCAATGTGTGATGGCACTGTCAAGATTCAAGATTCATGATTAACTTTATTGTCTCACATAGTGAGAAATGTGTCTTTGTACCACAAGAGGTACAACATGTAAAAAAAAAAAAAAAAACAAGCTTCAAGTACACACGCACTCAGGTTTGCACACTGACACACACACGCACACACACTTCCGCCCTGCTGGCTGTGATGTTTTACAGTGATACAGTTTCACTGATGACACATTTGTACAGGGACATTTCAAAAGTGTTGCATTTTGTTTTTCTAAATTACAATGTGTAGTTGTTTTGATAAACATTGTGTGTTTTGGATCCAAAAAGTCCCTGCTAATTTCCTTGGCATGTCTGATAAGGCCATGAGAGGAATTTACCGTCCTGACTTTTGAGTTCATGATTTAGCTAATACAAATTTTTAGGTATTCTCAACATTTGACCGCTTTTATGTCTTTAAAGTTTCCTGTTTCTTCTTTTAAAGAACCCAAATAGATAAGCAGGAGCAGATACAGAATGAATACAATTCAATGCTTATTCTGTCAGCCATTAGCAAGAGAGCAAATGTTCATATCTGCAAACTTTCAAACGATTCCATAAAAGTATCGTCTGATTGTTCAGAAAGGTCCGTCTGCTGTTGCTTAAATTTCATGACAAAGCAAATTAGTCCTCATATTTGACCATTTCCATTATTTCCAGCTGAAATGGTCGATAAGTATTGCATCTGATGTTAAACAAGCATGACATTATCAAGATCTGCCAAATTGATTGCAAGTGTTGTCTTCAAGCAGTATTTAAATCAATCACAGTCACTGCCAAGTGTAATTTATGTGTGGTTTTCACTTCAAAGAGCACTGGACCAAAAGGATAAACAGGAGGCCAGAGGAAACGTTTCATGGCCTCCAGGTAGTCAGAGCAGCAGAATCAAAGAGGGGCATAGATGTTTATCAACAGGGCAAAATTATGCTAACAGCGCCACATTAACATATTAGCATCTTAATCAAAATGCATGACTGGTAGCCAGCGCAGCACACTTCACTTCTCAGGCCTCAGACATCTTGGATTTAGTCTGCAGTGTCTGTACTAAAATATTTATCGTCATTAAAGTTTAATAAAATGAGGCAGGTCAGGTGATTTCTGTATCTGTAACATCACAGAATCCTTGCTAGGAGTGAGGTCATTATGTTGGTTGATTTGTGGGATCAAGTCACTTTATCCATCTGAGGATCCTTCTAATTGCCACAACCACATTTGGTTTAAAGCAATTTCCACAGCAATTATGGCTTTATCATCTGATTACATGGCTTTCAGCTCTTTGGATTTTAATAAGGGCCGTTAAATTGATGAGGGAGAATGAGAATGATAACAGCCTCAGACATGCACATGCTTGTATATCCTCAAAAATGTACTTCATTCAACAGCTCATTTTGATCAGCATATTCAATGTTGAAATGAGTCGTAGTCTTGAGTATCATTTGTCATTTTCATAGATGGTGAAATAAGAATTGATGCAACAGAATTGTTAGAGTTAAGGCAGTTAATATTGACCTGAGGGTCATTAAAGGTCACATTTTATGCAAAATACATTTCACCATGGATGTGTCCATAGTCTGTATACAAACCCCCCAATTATAAGAAAAGGCTTTTCTTTCTGTCTTTCACCTGCTCAGCTTTTCAGAAAATGTGTGCTCAAACAGGCCATTTGGAGATTTTCCCTTCATGACATCACAAAGGGCAGTAACCCCTCCCCCGGGTGGGAGACACTCCCACAGCTGCCTTCTCATCGTAAACAATTGGGCATGGTGCAAGAAAGCCAAGGCACATCCCTCTTCCAGAGAGGGGGTGTGGTCAGACACAGCTCATTTACATTTAAAGCTACAGACACAGAAACAGCGTGTTCTGAGCAAGGCTGAAATAGAGGCGTTTATAGGCATGATCAAATACAGGATCAGAGTGGATAAAGGAATGAGCACCTGCAAAGTAACTTCAGGTCTCATAAAAATGTAGAGGAGCAAAAGGCACATGTTGAAGTATTAAGTAGCGAGACATTTTTTTTTACAGTCCATGTATGCAGGGGTGAAGGGGTTAACTCCCCAACGATGCAGAGGGTTTTGTCTCCCACCTTTCTCAGCGTCATTACAGCTAACGACCTCATGTCTTTCTGAAGCTTTTGTTCCTAAAAGCTTTTCACTCTCATTATTCTTCCCACAGATAAGAACCTTCCTAACAGCTCCAGCGTGGAAGTGGAAGTGACGCCACCCATGAATGGAACAGCGGGACAAGAGGGGGAAACGGTAAGAAAGCCGCGTAACACACATGCAATCGTATCACAGCAACGGAGGGGGGAAAATATCGGTTTTATACCCGGTCCAGTTAGGAATGAGAAAAAAAAAAAGAAGACATCAAAGTTGGAGAGACATTTATGAATATTTTATGCCTTTCACCTGTGTCTGTGTTCCACCTTGAGTGTGATTGATGCAAAGGTTGCGCCAGCTCTCGCACCGGTCACTGCTGCTGATAATTTCCCAGCATGCACTCCGGCGAGTTCCTCCATCTTCAGCCAGACCTGTCAAAGACCCGCCTCCTCCCACAGAGTTCTGTAATCACACTCCTCTCTCACCTGCTGCTGCACACTGCTGGGCGCTGGAAACAAACACGCTGGCACACGTGCCTCGACAAACACACACATAAACACACCGACAGTCTTGACACACGGCCAGGCAGTGTGGCTCAGTGTGGCACCTGCAGCAGTTGTGAGGGATAGCAGCGGGATGCAGTGACCTGCCGGCTGCCGGGCCAGCAGACGGCCCTGAGGCAAGAGGGCAACGAGTCAAAGTCCAAAACTTATACGGGAACTGGCCCAGGAGACGAGTGTGTCGGTCGTCCTGCTGGATTCTCACTGCTTACATCACACTTACCAAGAATAACCCAAAATGAAGCTGAACTCTTTATCTTATATTCTCAAAGGTTATATTTTTGACTTGGTCTTGAGCACTTTTTTTTTTTTTATCCCTGCAAAAACTTCACTTTTAAATTCCGACTTTTTCATAATCACTTAAAAACTCCCACCGGGTTGTTTTTATTTTGAATACATCAAAGCAAATAAGTCCTTAAATTCAATTTAATGACGTGTGTAAAGTCAATCACTGGGCGCTGAAAACAAACAGTAACCAGAGAAAGAAACTCCACAAAAACACGTGTGCACAATGTGTCCTTAGCTAAATTGTACCTGTGCAACCAATGCCTGCACAGGCTGCTCCATTTTGACTCTATGTTACGTCATAATGCAACATTTGCAAAAATTAAAAAAAGAAGAGCCTGCCTCTGTTTCCTGAGTGTGCACGCTTTGCTTCTTGGAAAGAAGAGGTGAATATAGTTTGAAGAAACCTTTAAAGGCTTTAGCAGAATAAACACTAGGCCTAAACAACAGTCACATTTTACATTTATATTGTTAAAGTGATGATTATAGGTTTTAATGCTCTGCAAATAAACTGTAATTTGATGATTAACTTTGTGGACAGAGGTCTTAACTCAACCATCAAAGCACTATAGGCATTTTAATCTGGTACAATCCCCCTCTGAATTAAAGCCCTGGCTTAATAAAATACTAAGTAAGCAGCTGAATAATTACTGAAAAAATGTGATCTTTCTGCACCAAAGGAAGAGGCACTGTGGCACCTTGACATTCAGCTTTCCTCCCAGGTAAGATACAGTATCTATAAATACGGAGCGGTGTGGGAGCATGCAGGAGGTTCTCAGAATAGACAGAACAAGAAAAGATGAGCCCTACTTCCCAACATGACCGTGTGTGTATTGATCTATTCTGCCGCACCAACTTGTTTTCAGATTGATCTCTCACTCTTTGGGTTAATAATAGACGGGAGGGATAAAAATGTCTCTCCAGAAGCTGAAAATATTCATTTCCAAAAATTAAAGGCATTGCAGCCTTCCTTAAAAAAATGTTTCAGACTGGCTTTTGTACTTAATTTTTATGAGGTGAGGGCAGAAAAACCTGATAAAAGGAAATATTAAATCTTTTCCAGAAGGTCATTCACTGAATTCGGAAGAGGTGAACCCTTATTGGCATGCCAAAGTCTTATATGCGGCTATTTTTAGGGACCTGTCCCACAGTGCACCTGTCTGTGTCAGCCAGGAAGTCGCTGGAAACAGCTCACACCTTCATAGGGCGCCCGAGGCTTGGCCTTCTAATATTTTCTTCCCTGCTGGACGCCTTGGCAACTCAGATTGGGGAATAAGGTGATAGTTAAAGTCAAATTAAAAATCTGCAGCAGACTTTTACAACTATTTTTTGGCTTCATTTTCTGCTGTACAAACCGCTTGGGAGCTGCAAGGACAGAAATGATCAAATCTTGTGATATTTTCTGTAACTGCAAGAAAGTAAAGTTTACTTTTCAATAAAAGCAACATGTGCTAGAGTGTCTGCGTACTGTACATTCATCAAGCTCTAATTTTAAAAAGGCCATTTTCGGATAAAAATGAATAACAATCATGTTCAGGGTATGACGCACAAAAAATGTCTCTGTAAAGATATAAGCAGGATTTTCTACTCTCAACACTCAAGTTGATTATTTCTGAGAGTTTCAAGCTCCTGTAATCACTTCTTTCAAGAGCATACTGGGAAACTACAGGAAATCAACGTACAGCTATTTATGACTCACCCCAACTCCTCTGTTAAAGCTAAAAGGATATGGAGAAAAAAATCACTTGTATGAAGGGTTTGTCATGGATTTAATGGAGATGAGTGACATCTCTTGGAATATCTGGTCGCTCTTCTTTTAGCTCTTTGACTGAGAATTTGATATCCAGAAGGTAAGAAAGATAAACCCATACATGAGATACTCAGACAAGACAAGATTTAAAGCACAAATAGATCAATTGTCCATGACAAAATAGTGACTAATCTAATGTGATGCTTCTGATATTTAAACAATTAAAATAAGTTTGTTCAGTTTCTGTAAGAATGTAACGTAAAGTACTGAATATGGGGAAAAACCTTCTTCTAAGGGTTTTCTTTAAAACACAAACAAATCAGATGCACGTCAGTGATTTAGCACCTTGGAATAAATGTTCATTATTGGTTTTTGTTATCAACTGCTAGTTTTACATCTTGTTCAAAAATGCTTTGGGGCTTGGCCACTTGTGATGGATAACCCCCTACCTATTCCACCTGCCAACCAGGATAGAGAAAGACCATCGTGTATCCAACCACGCATCCAAGTATGGTCCCTCCTAACGCAAAAAAGGATCCCAACAATCCACAAACAAAAGGTGTAAAAAGGAAGTTGACAAATGATTGAGTGTTGCTTCCATTTCTATCTCTGCTGTGGTATCTCCATGAACATGGCTGCACTCTGTCCAACCCAGGAAACAAAGAAGTCGGATTAACAACGCTTTTGTGCGGTCAGAAATATAAATCAAAAGTGTTGACACACACCAGGCGTCAACACACACGCCCCCTTCTGGGAAGTTGGGAAAAAAAAAAAAAGAAAAGAAAGGAAAATGTCACGCCTCCCCTCACAGCTCTGTGGCGACAGGTAAACATCAGTGCCTTTAAGCTCTGAGTTGGCAGCGGTGCCAACTGAGGCACTGTAGGGCAGGAAGGGCCCCCGAGGGTCTGGCATTTGGAAACCAACTCGCTCTGAGTTGTGAGGCCCAGCTCTGAGGGGAACTTTGGGAGAGAAAGCAGGTAAAGGGAATGATAAATTGAGCAATGACAGACTGGTAGTGTGCTGTGTCAGCCAAAAACAACATATCTACATAAGAGCTGCAGGGCAGACTGCAATGTCGTACAATACATCTTCTTTTACTGGAGTATAATACCAAGCTGTTGCTGCTGTTTGTATCCTACAATCAGTTACTGTACAAGAAAAATCCCTCATATCTTTACATTGAGAAAATAAGCGGATTGGGTTTCCGAGCTGATCCCCCTAAAGCCTCACGTTTTTGGTTACAGCTCCTTTTCTTTTACGGAAAACAATGCAGCCATCTGGCTGTGAAGAGGAGGAGAAATCAGAATGCCGAGCATAAGTGATGCAAGCGCTGCCTTTTGTTTGGCAGCTCTGATTACCAAGGTTACCAGGCAGTGCTCACCAGCAGCGGCTGTCACAGCAGGATAGGCTCCATATGATTCATGATTTGAGCAGTAGCCATCTTTAAAGATTTCTGCTTCACCCTCTGAGCATTATTAATGATTGTATTTAGTGTGACTTGAATGATTTTCTGGAGAAAATGAACATTTAGACAGCTACATCTGTTATCAACATCTGTCCTACTTTGTGTTTTGTTTTTTACCCCGTCTGTTTTTACTTGTTATTTTACACCTTTCCTATCGTCCCCCTCAAAGGTGCAATAGACAAATTCTTGGTCATCAGTGTGTTCTGCTTAGATCTGCATGTGTCAACCTGTCTCTGCAGGTCCCCATGGCTCAAACACACCCTTTATAATTGGAAACAAAGGGACCGCAGACATCTTTCCTCTCTCAGAAGGCTCTGGTGTTTTACCATTAAAGACCATAATGGTTGACAGAGTTGGAAAAAGCTGAACAAAGTTGCGCAAGTTTATGCCACAAATGAAAAGATAACGCTTTCTTGCTGATGCCTCAGAATGTGTCATCTTCCCATGCTGCCAGCTTATTTGATGCTGATCTGCAGAGAGGTGATGCTCTTTGCCTCGCTTGGCATTCCAGTGGCAGGTCCAATCAGACCCCAAGGGGGGATGCTCTGCCTCTGTGCAGCCAGCGTCAGCAGTCAGCAGTGATGAGCCCCTGATGACTGGAGAGGCTGAGCCCTTCAGTGCCCGCTGCAATTCTCCCAAATCACAGTCATCAGGCTCCTCTGTCTTAAGGTCACGGCAGAGCAGAGACACGTGCACGTCCAGGTCCTGCCATCGTTTTCTGCAGAACCTCGGCGCTGTCTTTTTTTCTTCTTCTGAAGTGCTGGTGCTGCAAGAGTGCCTCCTTCCTCTCTGGGTTGTTGCTATGGAGAGGTGTGTCCCAATGAGACAAGTTGTCAAGTTGAAGGAGACACTTTGGATTGTTGTGAATTTTTTCCCCTTAAGGAACAAGTAAAAAGCATGACTCAACGTGTGTTTACCTCTTATCTAATCCCAGATGGTACATTAAGGGACAAGTGATGACACTGCATGAAGACACCTTAATAAGAAGGAAACAAGGGGGGAAAGGAGGAATTAATCATTCTGATGTGGTTCTATTTGTAAGCTTTATATCCTTTCCTCAGGCTGAGGACGAGGAGGAGGAGGACCAGCCTCTGAGCCTGTCCTGGCCCGAATCCAACCGCAAGCGCTTCACCTACCTCTTAATCATGCCCATCGTCCTCCCCCTGTGGCTTACGCTGCCTGATGTCAGAAAACAGGTGAGTAAGACAAAGTTTACTCTCTCACAACATTAAAACAAGACTTTAATGAGCTTTATAAGGGTGAAGTTAAAGTCATGTGTTTTTGCCTCTAAATCCACTATTCTCTCTCTCTCTCTCTCTCTCTCTCTTGCTTTTTCCAATCTTCTTTCAGTCTGCTAAGAAGTTCTTCCCCATCACCTTCCTGGGTGCTATCAGCTGGATTGCAGCCTTCTCCTACTTAATGGTGTGGTGGGCTCACCAGGTAACCAAACATTAAGTGGCCATATTATGTTCATATCAACTTTTACATTTTCATTCTGTGAAACCTCCTTGCTTGGGATTGGCCGATTGGTTAGCTCTGTTATAGCAACATGAGCATGTAAAGACTTCTTTGAATTTCATGATATCACAAAATCCTCCAGGTAGAAAAATCTGTCTGAAACCTGCACCTGATTGCACCAGCTCTTCAAACATAGCCGAGTCTGAATGTACCTTCTAACGTCATGACGGAGTGCTAACATTTAAGGTGTTGCACCAGTTAGGATAACACCGATGTAGGCAATGTGGGCTTTCTTTTTGTGCGAGTCCAAGGGGGGACCTTAGCTTTTTTTAGACACAATTAGGGAGGTTTCCAAGGTCAAAAGGTTGGGAACCACTGACTTGGAGGATGAGGAGGAGCAGAGGGTTTTACTGGCTGTTTAGTGTTAGCAGTGTGTTCTTTGTGTAAGATTACATCCCCTCCAAAATGTATGCCACCATAATGCTTTGGAATATTTTACATACATTTTCGTAGCTGTTTGTGGATTTACAGCGGTTAGCGGAAGCTATTTACAGTCCTTAGTGTTTTCGGAGACAATTAGACATGGAAACACTGTAACCAACCATGCAATATAAAATGACTTATCACCCCCCATTTACTTTTAAAATGAAACCATATTCGAAAATCCGACTCATAAATAATTACAGTGCAATAATCACACTCATAATAGTTACAAGAGATTGTCGGAGCTCAAGTTTTTTCACCTCTGTCACCTCCAAAGCATCACAAGGAAATTAAAAATAGCTGGAACAAAAGATTAGGTTTTTTTTCTTTTCTTCTTTTTTTTTTTTTTTTTTTTTTTTTTTTTTTTTTTACCCCTAAGCTTAGTTTCCTTTTTTTTCCTTTCTTTTTTTTTTTTTTTGCAGGTTGGAGAGACCATTGGGATTACAGAGGAGATTATGGGCCTGACTATATTAGCAGCTGGAACCTCCATCCCTGACCTCATCACCAGTGTTATCGTGGCACGCAAGGGTCTGGGGGATATGGCGGTATCCAGCTCCGTCGGCTCAAACATCTTCGACATCACCGTTGGGTATGCCGTTTGAGCAAGATTTGAGTAATGTTGTGCAATACTTTGAAATTGTTTGTCATACTTTTGCCATGAGTAGTTTGTGTCATCCTTTAACCGTAACATTTCATGCATGAATGAGTTTCATCCATGTTGACCAATCAGAAAAGTGTTATGCTCTTGTGTGCCTGGGTTATGATCTCTCAATAGGTCAGACCTTTTAAGTGTATTGACTCAATAAAAAGTGATGTTAGAAAATTATTTCAGTCACACATATAAACCAGTTAAATACCTCCTTACTGGCACTTAAAGTTAACTAGATTGCAGCCGAGGATATGACCAAAGTCAGCTGACAGGCAGTCCGGTTTATAGCCTCGACTGTTTAAAGTTGTAATGATAAAAATAAAAGTTCTTGCAGCTGGTTTGGTAACATTTTAAAGCAAAGAAGACGAGGAGAGCCTCTATTATTGACTTGTTTCCTCAAGCACTGCTTTGATGTAACAGTCTCCACATGGAACAGTGATGTCACTGACGCGTCTTTGAGCGCAGCGTTGTGCTTTTAGAGAAATACTTCAGACACAATGGTATAAGATTAGTCCTGCCGTATATATCCAGAGCATAGATTCTCATTCATAGTTCAATATAGTATTTCAGCTGATTACAAAGCACTCCACCTCACTACTGTCTCCAATGTGATAAGCCTGTATTGTGCCTGGATTACATCAGCAGAACTGTATTTGCACATTCTCTCATCTTCTTTGTGATATAATAATGGAATAAATATGGTAGTTATGTGCATAAGCATGGTCCTGGTATTACACACAGCTACACATCTGTAGATATATATATATATATAGATAGATAGATAGATAAAGATTTACACATGTATTGTGCTGATCCCTCAAATGCAGTTGTCAAACACTTGTGGAAAATAAATAAAGTATAATGAACTGTGCATGTACATGCATCCCTCGCTTGAAACTCTGGAGAGTGATAATGCTTGTTGTAATCCATACAGCACCCTCTGCTGGTGAAAGAGAACAGCTAGTGTAGTTCAATTAAACTCAAAGAAGTGATATTTGATTGGTGAATAAATCTTGTAATATCGGCGCATATCTGTGATAAAAATTAGCCGATACTAATAGTCACTTGATACGTTAATATCGGCCGATATTATCGGCTGGCCAATAAATCGGTCGGGCTCTACTAGACCAGGTAATCAAAAAAAGGTGAGACTAACAAGACACAGGGAAACAAAACTGGTGGGAAACACACAGAGGCATGAAGAAACACTAAAGACATGATTACACGATGGGAGGGGGGGGCTAAAAAATAAAACAGGAAACACTGAAAACTAAACTCAGCATTATCAACAGAAAAAGACATAACAGAGAAACTCAAGGATACCAATGACCAAATAAATAACAGGAAATCACAACAACAAGGAATAAACAAATGAAACAAGAGAAAATCATGACAGCAAGGTGTAGAGTGATTCTGTTGGACAGTGACACATTTCAACTGCTGCTAAGTTGTACTTTTTGTAATTAGGTTCGGCTGAGTAACACTTATTGTTGATACATTTTGCTGTGTCATATTCACTTAAATGCACACTCTGCTGCACTCTGCTGAGTAATGCATCCTAAAAAGCTGGTCTTCTCTGTTTACATTAGGCATCCTTCTCAGCATTTTTTATTTTAAACCCACAAAATCATGAAAATCTAATATTTGGGTCTGATTAAAAAATAGAGCGAAATGGTTGATGTAATGTTTGCCCAAATCCCAAATATGTTTTCTCCCGGAGTAAGCTGTCTTTGATTGTTTTATTTACATGTGTTTGTGTATCCACAGGCTGCCGTTCCCCTGGATCCTCTGGTCCTTCTTCAGCGGCATGAAGCCGGTGCAAGTCAGCTCCAACGGCCTCTTCTGTGCCATCGTGCTCCTCTTCCTAATGCTCATCTTCGTCATCATCTCCATCGCCGCCTGCAAGTGGCGCATGAGCAAGCTGCTCGGCTTCATCATGTTCATGCTGTATTTTGTCTTCCTGGTGGTCAGCGTCATGCTGGAGGACAAGGTCATCACCTGCCCCGTGTCCGTGTGAGGACCTGCGAGGACCCGCTTCCTCTCCTCTCGTCACCACCACAAACAACCACCGACACAACAATCCTTCTTGTCTGCCATCGCTCTCACCTGACCCTTGTGATCCTTTAACCCGGGAACGAAATAGGAGTATGGATTGCTGGAGGAGAGAATGATATAAAAAAATATGAAATCTGCCTTTATCTTCAGTAAGCAGACGGTGGCGGGGAGGGGTTAAATCAACAAGGACGCAAGACTTTTGACTTGGCTGGTTTAGCTTTGGCCTAGCCTGAGTGGATTTCTATTTGTTATTGTTATTTAATAGGCAGGTAAGGAGGGAGTAGTGGGTGTACCAGCCAAATATAGAAGCATTATGCATGCCATTAGTGTCACTAGATGAGCTGGAATCAAGACTACACCTGATAGGCTGAGGAGGATGACCTCCTGTGAACTTTGGGTGGGGGTGGGGGGGTGGGGGGCAAGAGGTGCACTGTATAAAACTCTTAAAACAAGTGCAGTGGCTGAGCTGAGATTGAACACAAAATAACTACTGCTGTCTCCAATAGAGTGAAAAGGAATTTGCGGATGAGGAAATGGCAGACTGTGTGGATGAAGATTTTGCTCCAAATGTGTTCTCTATCTGAAATAAAAGAGGGAAAAGACTCTCCTCTGGGCTCTGCACCTGAGCGACAAGGGACAAAACACCCTTTCTGGGCAGACAAACTTCTTCTTTCTTATTATTTCTTTCTCTTTTTTGGGGGATTTATCACATGCTCAGTCTGACTGACAAGTTCAAGCTCCACCTCTTCCCTGCCGGACGTCGTTTTTTCACCGCTGAATGTCTCTTCAGAGGATTCTTTTTTTTTTTTTTTTTTTGGATTCATTTTCATGAAATACATAGAGGTAGCAGTAGAAGTACTGTAGCAGTATTAGATCATATAGAGTCATCTCTGCAATCTTCTCCTATTTTTATTCTTTTGCCACTGAACACACGTTCTGATTGTGCAGAACTTTCCATGCTTCACACGCACCGAGTGACAAAGCCAAGAAGAGAAAAAAAAAAAATCCTAACTCAAGTTTAGCCTCTCAAAATATATGCTTGCCTTGAATATCTTTCACTGGTTTGAAAAAAAAAGGCATGAGTTCTGTAGACTCATTGGAGTTCCATATTGAAGTCTATGTCAAAATACTACAGTTGAAAAGAACTAAACAGTGTTTAAGCGTCACGGTTGATTTAGATTAGTCATTGTGTAGTGCTTTGTTCACTGTAGAACTGGGGCTCAACTCACCGGCTAGTCAAGCTCCTGGTTAGTAGTTTATGAAGTCAACTGCATGTAAAAATAGACACTTGGAGGTGAATAATACCAATCAACATTTAAGAAGTTGTAAACCAAAATGTACACTTTTTGAAAATATGTTTCATAACTTCTTAATGCAAAACCACTGCTCAGTCTCTATGTAGAAATGTCAACACGTACGGTCAATGATATCTATCAAACTTGTGCAATTTCTTTTCTAATCAAAGGTGCTTTTGTGTGCATGTGTGCAATCTGCATTTGAATCATCACACAATAACCATCTCTTATATTTAGCTATGAATAGAGGTTATACTACCAGTATTTTGCAACTAACTGCAAAAAATATATATATAAACCAATCTGTGTTTTATACTGGAAATATAAAAAAACGAAACACGATCTCTCTTTAAGCTACATAGAATGTGGAAATCACTGATTTAACAGCAATATACTGTGTGTGTCGTCCTTGCGTCTCTTTCTCCTCCCTGTCAGGATGTGATTCGACACCCGAAAGAAAAAAAAGTGTGTGTGTGTGTGTGTGGGGAGGGGGGGGGGACCATTTCTCTGCAGCCCCTTTCTGTTAGAGCTGGCCAGAAACACCCGCTTTACCTCAACACAGCCTCTGTACAGCAGCTTAGTAGAACTGTAAAATATAAGTAAATAGATTCTCTGAATGTGTGAGGAAACATGCATGTGAGGAATTTGGGCTGGTTACCCACTGACTGTACAGCTGAGCTTAGACCAACTATATATGTTCACTTTTATGCATCCATTCAGACAGAAACACCAAGAACCCCATGGTTTTACTTTGTAAATATGTCACACCTATTTTTATTTTATTTTTTTTGCAAGAAACTTCACAGATGTATTGTATTCACTCAGAGTTTTTATCCATTTTTGTAATGGATGGAAAAGCTCAGTTATATGTTGGTGGCCCTAAAGTATCAAAGTATTACTGAGAAAACGGTACTCACAATTATTACTGAACATCTCTCTGGCATACTTTACACTGTAAACATGCTTGTTCAGGTTCTGCTATGGAAACAGGGGATTTTAAGACCAAATCACGTCCTTATCTGTAACAACAGCAGGACTTCTTGATGCATCAAAAATGCTTCTGACATGAGGTAAAGTTTGGAAATGCACAGAAAAGAGGAAACCTATGATCATTTCGTTCAACAAACACATTAGTAATTCATATGCGGTGTGCTTTTGTACGGTACATTTCCACACGCTAGATTCAAAGAGTTAATATAAGGCCGCAATGATGACTCATGTACTTTGTGAAATCCTCCTGTGAACATTCACCATTAAACTCCCTCTCACTCTCAAAGCGCCCACACGCTCTCCTTAGTGATCACACCTCGCCTCAAGTTTCTACTCGCCCTTCTCTTTGAAAGAATGAAAACATTTGTGAAATGCACTTTTTTTTTTTTTTGCTCTCCTAAAGAGATGAAGATAAGAAGATGGACCCATATTTCATGTTAGGTTGGTAAATATGAAGCCAGAGAAAGCAACCAGATGGCTTTGTAGAAGGGAGGAAGCTAGCTAGCCTAGCTAATTCCAAACGCAACAAAATGTGCTAAACAGCACCTTTAAAGCTTAATATTTAAAACATGATTGTCATATGTTTAGTCAGTGCATAAACTTAAGTGTAAAAAAAGACAGATTGTGATTTTTACAAGGGTTATGTGCAGGTACAGAAGCTAAGCTAGCTAGCTGTTCCCTCTGTTTCCAGTCATTTTGAGAGCTGCGGATAACCGTTTGCTGAAGGCTCTTTATATTTCTCATACAGACAGTGAAGTGGTATCTATCTACACATCTAATTCTCTGCAAGATAGCAAATAAGTGTGTTACTATGAACGTCAAATAGCTTTAATGGGTTAAAAGGTGATTATCTGAAGTTTGGCTGACCTTTGACACACACGTGAAAACTGAACATTTACACTATCATCACATACCAATCAAGTTCCCTCTAATGGTAAGAGGACGGATAAAAAGTCAACACTTAGAAAGCTGTTTAGTTAGGCATGTGAGCGTGGCAGTGGTTGAGATTATCAGGGTAAGCGACTGTGAAAGTTGACCACTAATGAACATCTTGCACTGTAAATGTTTTATTTTCTTGGTGTTAATGTAAGATTTATTTAAGGTGTACATATATACAGATAGAAATTAACCATATAATCTATACGTGTAAAAGAAATATGTCTCTTTATGTAAAAACACAAAGTATATAATAAAACAAATAAAGATGATCATTCAAATATGCAACAATGTGTGAGCAAGTTTTTACCAAAGTCTCTTTAAGCTTAAAAAAAAGTCTGATTGTTTGAAAGTCTATAAGAAAATGACATTCATTTTCACTTCATTTTTATATTAAATTTCTGAATGAGTTATTGGTCTCAATAATAGTCTTTTTCAATACTTAATGAAACACTTTCTTAGTTAAGATTAAATTAAGAGTTAATAGCAGTGTATGAAACACTTCATGTCTTAGGGTATTGGTTCCCAACGGGGGTCCAGGCCCCCCCAAGGGGGGCGCCTGAGATCTCAGGGGGGTTGTGATGCTCTGTCTGCTCTGAGGTTGTCAAAATTCAATTTGCACATATTCAATAAAATCATGTTTGTTTTTTTAATTACTAGGAAATGTATACAAATGCCTTTTGGTAAGAACAAGTGTTTAGGCATATTCTTAATGTTTTCAATAGCAATCAGATCTGTAATACAGAAAAAGCACTGAGTTTCATCCAAACTCAAGGGCAGTGATGAGCTTTTCTTTATTTCTCATGTAGCCTTCCTGCTTGTATGGAGACAGCGCCCTCTGGTGATCTAACCCTGAAACTTCAGAACAATAACGAGGAAACCACCTCTTCTATCCAGGACTGATCGTCCACCCACCTAAAACCGTCTTACTTCACTTTTGTCTTTCCTTGGAATTGTAACTTGACTTTTCTAAGCACTGCAAGTTTTATTTAGCCAGAACTGATACTGAACACATCATGAGTCAGACCTCTGTCTGCTCTTTGACGCCAGGTTGGTTTCTGTTTGTTGACATTCAAAGTCACGCTCTGTTTTGGATTTAGAAAGGTGATTCTGATCCATGGTTGAATGTAAGAGAGTAAATTGACATTTGGGACTTGTGTAAGATTCTTAAAGAAAAATAAACCAAACTTACATTGAGGTAAACATGCCATAAAATAAGCCTGATCCCCCATTGGGGGGGAATTTTGTTGTTACAACAGCTCAAAAACATAATATATAATAATTATTGTATTTAATATATAATTAGCAAAAATAGCAAAAAGTAAAAAGATAAAATAAAAAAAAACGTATTTACATGAATAAAAGAAGAAAAATACAATAGAAATAATTTGATACTAGGCATATGTACACTTTCACTTGTGGAAAGACAGAAGAGGCAGAGTAGCTTGTTGTATTCATGATTGCCATTGCTTGGCAGACACACAAATTCCACACTGATAATTATCTTGATCAAGCAGAATTTCAAAAAATATATCTTCCTACGAATTCATGTAGCCTCTATACTGCATATTTTTTCAGAACTTTACAAAATGATGATATCGCCAATCCTTCTTTAGAAGTGTGTTTCCTTCTTCCAGTCATCCCCAGACTTTTCCCAGGGATGAAAGGTTTCTCTGGAAACTGATCCTGGATGTGTAAATCCACTGAAACAGCTCCAGTGAGTCAAAGCGAGTCATAACTTGGACAATTGATACAGTGTACATTAAACAACTTCCTTCTTGACTATGTAAAAACAAAAATCATCAGTTTTCTCTGGGGGAGCTGCTGATTGGACCACTGTGGTTATTTGAGATTTTTCACGGCGTTTGGTGTCAAACTTTTTGATATTTTTCTGGCTTGATTTGGAAAGTATGATGGTGAGTCTACAAAATCAATTAAAAAGACTAGCTTTGTTGCTTTGCTGGAAGTTTCAGTGAATATTTTTAAATGAGTGTTGAGTGGACTGAACATTTCATTAATGATCTCAATAACAAGGAGACGATAGAAAATAGTTGTGGCGAAACAAGAACTTGAACTAAAATGATCACACAAATATTTTACTTATTTTTACCAAATTTTACCTTATTTTACAAATCTGGATTAAGTGAACATTTCAAATCGAGGGTCAGAAAATGAAAGAAGGATTATTTTTTGAGTCGCTAAATGAATGAAAACATGAGGTCATGAATTATGTTTTTCTGCAGACAGTGAATTTGACTGGAATCCATTTTGAATGAGACATCAAAACTAACTACAAGGCATGACTTTGAATTTTAAAATAAGTCTGAGAAGCTTTTCAGCTGTTTGTAATGATAAAGTTACACAAGCTGAGACTTTATTTGGCTCTCATTAATCATTTCATGTGAGGCAGGTCTTTCAAACATTACCTGCTGATCATGTTTATTTATTGTTTTATCTGTAAAATCAGTTCTTTAATTTGAGTTTTGCTGTTACTAATTATCCTGGAGTTAGAATATAGTTTGTTCTGATTTTATCATTCATAATTGATTGAGTCAAATCTCATCAACTTGACATACTATTTCCTTCCTCTCTTTCAGCCTGCTAAGATTTGTAGATACTTAAGTTAAATCAATTGGGTTTTGCTTTCTTTTATTATTTATTCGAGTTTTCACTCTCAAGTCCTCAGTGTGACTTTTGTTTTAAAGCTGTTATCACAATTCTGATTTCCTTCTCTTTGTTGTCAGTAATTTTGTTGTTATAAATGTTTGCTAAACTTCCTCAAAGGTTGTATGAAGCATTAGTTGGGTTGGCTTCAGTCAAAAAAGAACATGAAGAGTGAAAAAGAAAGAAGTAAGGCAAGGCAACGAGACAAAATAAACACCTTTAAATAGGTATAAATGGGGGAAACATTTCGAAAGAGTGGACTCTTAAAAAGTAAAACATTACCTACAAATCTGAATTCAGCCTATACCGCTAAAATAAAATCATTATTGGCAAAATATATGTATGTAATTGAATTTAAATGATATTGGTGATGGCCAATTTGATATAAAAAAATATCTGACTAGTTTCGACCTTATAGCCTTGTTTTAGTTTTCTTTTCTTTACCCAGTGTGTGACAGACTTATAGTTATAATATCTAAGCTCACAGATCATTTTGTTACTGTCAAGAAACCCTTTAATCCTCCCATTTTTATAAACTGTTAACCTTATATACGGTAATATTGATCTATTTACTTTGTTATTTTTCTCCCCAACAAAACTGTTTTCCAGTACCAATTGTTAAAATAACATTAAACCAGTAAAATTATACTTTCATACTTTTTTCACGCTCTTACAACTTTTACCCCAGGATAGCAGAATATTGCAAACACTTCTGGTTTGCATGACATACACTGAATGAGGACTTCATAAACTAGATTAGATTTCTCTCATAATCTGGTTTCATTGTGTTTTGTAACACTTGGCGTTTACACTTCATGTGGTACTTAGGCTACATTGAAAATAAGAATAAACCTTTATATCACTGCTGTTGGAAAGAAAACTGAATTGTCATAGTCAAGCAAATTAATGACGGCTGATTCATCATGTCTACGGCAAAAATAGGAAAAACAAGATTTCCCTTAAAATTTGTGAGTCAAAGGCAGTGTTGGCTAAGTCTGTGGGGATTTTTCCCTCTTCCAGCAAATATTTTACGACAAGCCGACTCACTTTCCAAGTCATTTACCACCAGTTAATAAACTCCACATGGTGCTGAGGGCAAGGTTAGCAGCACCGAGTGTGGCTCATTCAGCAAGTCAGCTCACTATCGGCCAGACTTTGCTCGGTGATTTCATTCGCTCACTGTTACAGGGTGTGCTTACGTTTGAGTCAGCATTACTAAAAAAAAGTCTCAGAGGAGGCTCAAGGCCAGATTCTGCACACTCACTTGATCCTGTTACAAGCGTGGCAGCGGAGAAGCTTGTCTTAGGCATAGATTTTGGACCCAGAATGAGAGAATTGTTTTAAAATATCTCAGACGCAGGCGAGTCATCCAAAAAACGACCCTGTTTTGCTGTTTTGTGGAGAGCTATTTTCATGACTCCTTAAAAAAAAAGGGCCTCGGTGGACTTGAGACCATAAGATGACTCACAAGAGAGAGGTCTGTGTTGATCTGACTTGTAAGAGCAGCACATGTGGCTCTGTGATTCAGCTTGAGAACCGTCTGCAGGAGGGTTTTGGTCTGCAACCCAGACAAAATGATGGTCATTTATAACAAGTTCACAATGATATATCCTTTTGCTGTGAAAAAAAGGAGATCAAGAAGTCATTCTCTGTAAGTCACAGTTCAAGCTAGCTAGCATCTCGAAAAATGTGCTAGGTCCAAAAAAGCAACAACTATAACCCTAAAGGATAACGGAAGAAAAATGGAATGGCTTAGTCTGTAAGGTTGTCACTGCATTTAATATTTCATATGTTTAAATATTATGAAATA